GTCTGGTGAAGGTAGTCTGGTGAAGGTAGTCTGGTGATGGTAGTCTGTGAAGGAACCATCAGGAGGTTTATTTCAGGCTGCAGGGACATCATGACCCAGTTTCTGTTTTAGACTCACTGGAAGAGACTGAATATAAATATACATACATATTTAAATATGTTTGTGTGTATTTATAACAGTTATAATTAAGACATACAAGTATAAATATAGATTATATTATAATATATAACACGTTGATCTGATGGTCTGCTGCTTTAACTCTGAGGCGTTCATGGCCTGTTGTATTTCTCAGCTCTATTAAAGGAGGAGTCAGCTGTGGTTCGATCAGTGATCAGCTGATAATCCAGATGTTGTTTGTTTCTCTGAATGTTGAATGAAATGTCTCTAACAGAAAGTCTGTTAGTTTAGTTTAAACTCAAGTCTCTTTATAAAAATAGAGTTGTGAGGTCTGTAAACACGTTGAAGACTAAAAATAAAACCAAGTTTAAAATAAACCGGAGAGATTTACTGACCTGACAGACAAAAAGAGACAGACAGGGAGACAGAGACAGTCGTCTTTGTATTTTTATATTTCATGTTGTAAACTTCCCGTTTCTTTCCCTTCAGACTGAAACACGATGCAGAAATCCAGAAGTCAGTACGACTCCTTCCTGTTCTGGAGGCAGCCAATCGCAGCCCTCGACCTGTCGGAGCTGGAGGACATCGGCTTGACTGGCGCTCTGCCGGCCAATAGCATCAAAGGAAAGGACAAGTTGTCCACGCTGAGGACTAAGAATGAGGAGGTGAGGGGACGGACCGGTTCAGACCGGTTCAGACCGATCCAGACCAGTCCGGACCGATCCGGACCGGTTTAGACCGAACCAGATTGATCTTGATCGAGCTAGACCCATCCAGACCAGTCCAGATCGATCTTGACCGATCTAGATCGATCCAGACCCATCTAGGCCGGTTCAGACCGATCCAGACCAGTCCGGACCGATCCAGACCGGTTTAGACTGAACCAGATCGATCCTGACCGATCTAGATCGATCAGGACCGATCTAGATCGATTATGAAGGCAAATCACTGTCAAAATCCGAGAGCGCAAATGAGATCCATGCGCGCACGAAAATCAAACAGCCGCGCACATATTTTACTTTGACGAGCGCTTTTACGTCACTCCGCGAACAAAATGTAGTCTTGCGAAGCTTAAACCCGCTCGCTCGCGAGTCTTTTACCTGCTCGCTCGCTCGCAGTTTTTCTTTTTGACAGTAAGTGGGCGGACCCAGTCGCCATTGTATCTCAACATCTAATTGGTTACAATCCTGGTCTTGGGATAGACCGGATATCACTCTGACACAGACGCTAGTTCTGATAGAGGTGGTTTTCAATCTGCCACTAAACACTACTCCACTACATCTCAAGATGTTCTACATTTGTCTGACAGGTTTTGTAAACGTTTCAGACTGTAGAGGCTGATGAAATACAAATGATGTTAATAGAGTTGTTAAATACAATAATTAAAACTGTGTTAAAGACAAGTTGCTCAGATTGGTTTAAATTCACTCCATCATTCTATTACAGACGATGTGTGTTTGAGTCAAACCTCTTGTGACAAACAGCTCAAAGAAACTCTTTGATCTTAATTGATTAAACATGATGTGATCATATTTAATCTACTGTTGTGTTTACAGAAGAGATATAATATAGTTGTATATAATAGGAGCAACAATGTGGACCTGCTCAAAGATCTGGAGCCAAGATTAGGAACCACTGTTTGTATATTAACTGTTAAATCACTGACAAGTAGTTAGTGGATGAAAAAGTATTCAGATCCTTCACTGCAGTAAACGTACTAACACCATACTGATGAAACAATAACCCACTACCAGTAAAATACCTGCAAAATCTACTTTAAGTGCAGAAAGTAAAAGTACCCGTGCAGTAAAATGTACATGAAAATCTCCCCCGAGCGTCTGTGTCAGAGTGATATCCGGTTTATCCCAAGACCAGGATTGTAACCAATCAGATGTAGAGATACAATGGAGACTGGGTCCGCCCACTTACTGTCAAAAAGAAAAACTGCGAGCGAGCGAGAGTGAATTCTGCTCGAGGAGTGACGTAAAAGCGCTCGTCAAAGTAAAATATGTGCGCGGCTGTTTGATTTTCGCGCGCGCATGGATCTCATTTGCGCTCTCGGATTTTGACAGTGATTTGCCTTCATAATCGATCTAGACCCATCCAGACCGGTTCAGACTGATCTGTATCCATTTTATTTCAACATATTATGTTTTTATTTAACTAACCTTTAAGAGGTTCTAAATTCTGTGTTCTCTTCCTTTCTTTGCTCTTTAATAATCTCTCTCTGACTGTCTGTCTGCCTGTCTTTCTGTCTCTCTGTCTGTCTGACTGTCTGTCTGCCTGTCTTTCTGTCTCACTGTCTGTCTTTCTGTCTGACTGTCTGTCTTTCTGTCTCACTGTCTGCCTGACTGTCTGACTGTCTGTCTGCCTGTCTTTCTGTCTCACTGTCTGCCTGACTGTCTTTCTGTCTGACTGTCTGTCTGCCTGTCTTTCTGTCTCACTGTCTGCCTGTCTTTCTGTCTCACTGTCTGTCTGCCTGTCTTTCTGTCTGACTGTCTGTCTGCCTGTCTTTCTGTCTCACTGTCTGTCTGTCTGTCTCTCTGCAGGGTGAGATGACTGAGTTTTCGTCCTTTAATTATTGGAGAGCTCCGATCGCCGACGTGGACGCTCTGCTGGCCGACCTCAAGCTGCTGCTCTGAAACACATCACCTGACCTCTGACTCCTGACCCCAGATCAGCCCGATGTGACTGTTTCAGGAAGTCACCAAAATAAGAGCGTGGTTTTCACATTAAAAGCGTGCGGACAGAGGGCTGCAGAGACTGATCCTGGTTCAGATTAAACTCCCACAGCTTCGTGTCTGATTCTGAATCTTCTGTCTGAACTTTATTATTATTATTATTATTATTATTATTATTATTATTATACATCAACAGTGTGTTTATAACCAGGAGTCTGTATCCCAACGTGAGTCCAGCTTCATCCGTCTCTCTTCCGGTCTTAATTATAACTATAATAACTATTATAAGTCATGAAGCTGGTTATCAATAAGAGAACACATGCTTGATGAAACATAAACCCATTGGATTAGAATAAAACAGTTTGAAACCTGGTTTAATTAGTTTTAAAGCTGTAAACATACAAACACACAGAGGACAGTTTATTTATTGTTATTAATAATAATAATGAACAGTTTTATAAATGTTTCATCTTTGAAATAAGTCAAAGTGAGAGACATGACGTTTTATGATTAATTAATTATTTATTAACATATTATAATTTAAATGTAACCAGCGTCCCTGAACTCACCGTGTGATACAGATCCAGGTCACCTGATCTCAGACCTGCACCCAGACCTTCGAGGTGGACAAAATACCAGAAACACTGTTGATCTCTGATTCTCACCGATTGAACAAATGTTTTTCTGTCATATTAATTTATTAATTAATTTATAGGAGGTGATGTGTTCAAAGCCTCTGAGACTACAGTTTTTATCTGTTTCCATTCGTGCCTTTTTGTTTTTTTTTCTGACTCTGAGCTATGACGTCATATCATTGAATCATTTATTCATGTATTTCTGACCCTGAGCTATGACGTCATATCATTGAATCATTTATTTATGTATTTCTCGTGTTTTTCTCAGCGGACATCACGGATCCACCAGAAGAAAAAACAGCTGATCTTATCAGAATGTAAACGCTGCCAACAATAAAAGATTATGTCCACTCTTTATGGATCACGTTCATCATTATTATTTATATCATTCACTTGTTTTCCACAGAAAAGAAAAGTTTTATTTCACGTTTAAAAAAGATCTTTAATTAATAAACATTAAGAGAAATGAATTTAGTGACCGACAAAGTACAATCTTTATTTGTAGTTAAGTACAACAGTCAAACAACATGAACAAATAATTATTGAAACAGATATGTAAATAAAAATAAAATTCCACCAAAAAATTATGAAGAAAAAGGTTTAAAAAACTATAATAAAATAAAATAAACACAAGAGCTCTGATATTTTGATTGTGCATTTGGTAATTAAATCAACTAAATAATATAAATTATACTTGTTTGTCCTCCATTCTATACTAAATATTTTATTGTAAAATATTCTAAATATTTTAAAAACCAAATGTAAATGCCAGGAGATAGAGATATATATATATACACACAGTGGGTACGGAAAGCATTCAGACCCCTTTAAAGTTTTCACTCTTTGTTTCATTGCAGCCATTTGCTAAAATCAAAAAGTTCATTTTATTTCTCATTAATGTACACTCAGCACCCCATCTTGACAGAAAAAAACAAATGTAGAAATTTTTGCAAATTTATTAAAAAAGAAAAACTGAAATATCACATGGTCATAAGTATTCAGACCCTTTGCTCAGTATTGAGTAGAAGCACCCTTTTGAGCTAGTACAGCCATGAGTCTTCTTGGGAATGATGCAACAAGTTTTTGACACCTGGATTTGGGGATCCTCTGCCATTCTTCCTTGCAGATCCTCTCCAGTTCCGTCAGGTTGGATGGTGAACGTTGGTGGACAGCCATTTTCAGGTCTCTCCAGAGATGCTCAATTGGGTTTAGGTCAGGGCTCTGGCTGGGCCAGTCAAGAATGGTGACAGAGTTGTTCCAAAGCCACTGCTTTGTTATTTTAGCTGTGTGCTTAGGGTCATTGTCTTGTTGGAAGGTGAACCTTCGGCCCAGTCTGAGGTCCAGAGCACTCTGGAAGAGGTTTTCTTCCAGGATATCTCTGTACTTGGCCGCATTCATCTTTCCTTCAATTGCAACCAGTCGTCCTGTCCCTGCAGCTGAAAAACACCCCCATAGCATGATGCTGCCACCACCATGTTTCACTGTTGGGATTGTATTGGGCAGGTGATGAGCAGTGCCTGGTTTTCTCCACACATACCGCTTAGAATTAACGCCAAAAAGTTCAATCTTGGTCTCATCAGACCAGAGCATCTTATTTCTCATAGTCTGTGCGGGCTATGCGGGCTTTCATATGTCTTGCACTGAGGAGAGGCTTCCGTCGGGCCACTCTGCCATAAAGCCCCGACTGGTGGAGGGCTGCAGTGATAGTTGACTTTGTGGAACTTTCTCCCATCTCCCGACTGCATCTCTGGAGCTCAGCCACAGTGATCTTTGGGTTCTTCTTTACCTCTCTCACCAAGGCTCTTCTTCCACGATTGCTCAGTTTGGCTGGACGGCCAGGTCTAGGAAGAGTTCTGGTCGTCCCAAACTTCTTCCATTTAAGGATTATGGAGGCCACTGTGCTCTTAGGAACCTTGAGTGCTGCAGAAATTCTTTTGTAACCTTGGCCAGATCTGTGCCTTGCCACAATTCTGTCTCTGAGCTCCTTGGGCAGTTCCTTCGACCTCATGATTCTCATTTGCTCTGACATGCACTGTGAGCTGTAAGGTCTTATATAGACAGGTGTGTGCCTTTCCTAATCAAGTCCAATCAGTTTAATTAAACACAGCCGGACTCCAATGAAGGAGTAGAACCATCTCAAGGAGGATCAGAAGAAATGGACAGCATGTGAGTTAAATATGAGTGTCACAGCAAAGGGTCTGAATACTTATGACCATGTGATATTTGTTTTTCTTTTTTAATAAATTTGCAAAAAGTTCTACATTTCTGTTTTTTTTCTGTCAAGATGGGGTGCTGAGTGTACATTAATGAGAAATAAAATGAAGTTTTTTGATTTTAGCAAATGGCTGCAATGAAACAAAGAGTGAAAAATTGAAAGGTCTGAATACTTTCCGTACCCACTGTATGTATGTATATATATACGTATGTATATATACACATACATATACACACACACACACACACACACATACATATACACACATACACGTGTGAAAAAGTGTTTGCCCCCTTTCTGATTTCTTATTTTTTTGCATGTTTGTCACACTTAAATGTTTCAGATCATCAAACAAATTTAAATATTAGACAAAGATAACACAAGTAAACAAAATGCAGTTTTTAAATGAAGGTTTTTATTATTAAGGGGGAAAAAAATCCAAACCTACATGGCCCTGTGTGAAAAAGTGATTGCCCCCTAAACCTAATAACTGGTTGGGCCACCCTTAGCAGCAACAACTGCAATCAAGCGTTTGCGATAACTGGCAATGAGTCTTTTACAGCGCTGTAGAGGAATTTTGGCCCACTCATCTTTGCAGAATTGTTGTAATTCAGCCACATTGGAGGGTTTCCGAGCATGAACCGCCTTTTTAAGGTCATGCCACAGCATCTCAATCGGATTCAGGTCGGGACTTTGACTAGGCCACTCCAAAGTCTTCATTTTGTTTTTCTTAAGCCATTCAGGTGTGTTACTGGTGTGTTTTGGATCATTGTCCTGCTGCAGAACCCAAGTGCGCTTCAGCTTGAGGTCGCGAACAGATGGCCGGACATTCTCCTTCAGGATTTTTTGGTAGACAGCAGAATTCATGGTTCCATTTACCACAGCAAGTCTTCCAGGTCCTGAAGCAGCAAAACAGCCCCAGACCATCACACTACCACCACCATATTTTACTGTTGGTATGATGTTCCTTTTCTGAAATGCCATGTTAGTTTTACGCCAGATGTAATGGGACATACACCTTCCAAAATGTTCAACTTTTGTCTCGTCAGTCCACAGAGTATTTTCCCAAAAGTCTTGGGGATCATTAAGATGTTTTCTTGCAAAACTGAGACGAGCCTTTATGTTCTTTTTGCTCAGCAGTGGTTTTCGTCTTGGAACTCTGCCATGCAGGCCATTTTTGCCCAGTCTCTTTCTTATGGTGGAGTCATGAACACTGACCTTAATTGAGGCAAGTGAGGCCTGCAGTTCTTTGGATGTTGTTCTGGGGTCTTTTGTGACCTCTTGGATGAGTCGTCGCTGCGCTCTTGGGGTAATTTTGGTCGGCCGGCCACTCCTGGGAAGGTTCACCACTGTTCCATGTTTTCGCCATTTGTGGATAATGGCTCTCACTGTGGTTCGCTGGAGTCCCAAAGCTTTAGAAATGGCTTTGTAACCTTTTCCAGACTGATAGATCTCAATTACTTTGTTTCTCATTTGTTCCTGAATTTCTTTGGATCGCAGCATGTCGTCTAGCTTTTGAGGATCTTTTGGTCTACCTCACGTTGTCAGGCAGGTCCTATTTAAGTGATTTCTTGATTGAGAACAGTTGTGGCAGTAATCAGGCCTGGGTGTGGCTAGAGAAATTGAACTCAGCATTCCAAAGATGTGATAAACCACAGTTAATTTATGTTTTAACAGGGGGGGCAATCACTTTTTCACACAGGGCCATGTAGGTTTGGATTTTTCTCCCCCCTTAATAATAAAAACCTTCATTTAAAAACTGCATTTTGTGTTTACTTGTGTTATCTTTGTCTAATATTTAAATTTGTTTGATCTGAAACATTTAAGTGACAAACATGCAAAAAAATAAGAAATCAGGAAGGGGGCAAACACTTTTTCACACAACTGTATATACACATACATATACATATATATATACACACACACATATACACACACACACATGTATACATACACACACACACATATGTGTGTAAGTATGTGCTGTACCAGAGCCTCCACGTTGCTCAGCTCTTTGATCTTGTTCCCGCTCAGGTTGAGGTACGTCAGGTTGGGACATTTCTCTGAGAGCATCTCCAGAGAACCAGACAGGTTGTTGTCACTGAGCTCCAACTGAGAACACAAGAGTCAGACTGTCCATGAACTCATCACCACAGCTACACTACACGTTGAGGCTACGCTACACTGTGAAAATGCTAAAAATATTTTGGCTCATCTGATAGATGCTAACATGAACATCCTTATTTATGAACAATATCTCTTGTTTTAGTCCATATGTGTTTACATTTAATCAAATATTCTGCAGGTAAAGTATGCAGAAGTATTTATTATCAGCTGCTGTTTACAGTGAACTCATCAATATAAAGATCTCTGGATCAATGTGAGACTGAAGAAAACCTCAAACATGAAGATTCTCAGAGCTCTGTGATTTAAGGACTTTTATTCTGGACGGACATCAGAGACGATGCCGTCATCAGGAAGTGGAGGTCACACAGCGATAGTGTGTGTGTGTGTGTTACCTTGTGTAGTTTGGGCAGTGAGGGCAGCTTAGCCAGCGAGCTCAGACCCACGTTGACCATACTGAGGAACTCGAGCTCCGTGAGGGCGTCCGTCAGACCTTCAACCTCTCCGTCTGCAGAGCGACTGTTATCAACCACCAGCTCTACAATCTGACAGACAGACGGGTCAGTCAGCGAAGGGCAAAACTGCCCCTAAGAAATACAATGTTGCCCCCGATATCACGAGGAGAGGGGCAAAAAATGCCCCCATAATTTCCTCTAATAATAATAATGTTAATTTAATCAACTTGTGAAAAACATCGTAGCCTATATGACCCGGTCCAGTTGCCATAGAATGCTTTTGATTTTCGCCTTGACTGACGTTGCGTGCGTGAAGAACCGAACGTTCTAAACGAATAAATAAATGGAGCGCTTCTTCATCAGACCTGAGACTGTGAGACTGCGTCAACTCCGCAGACGCTTACATGTTAGTGCTCCTACATGCTGACATTCACGGTAAACACATTCAAACGGCACAGATCGGGAGCGAGCGAAGGACCGTGAAAGTTAGCGGAAAGATGAACGTGAGACAACATCCGGTTTCTTCAGACGAACATCCGGTTTGCAGAATAAGATGCCAACAAAGTATGAATTATATTCACATTAAGTATAAAACATGCTGCCTGCATCTCGTGAGTTAAAGGGAAAATACACCTAAATTGTGCATAAAGTGTCTTCATTCTTTGATTTGAGGGTTGCTAATGAATAATACCTGACTGACAGTCAATTAAGATATTTTACTCAGTAAAAACTCTGAACTGAATTTATACCTTCAAATGTTTTAAATTTTTAAGGTGCTATAAAAATGTTTCTCAAAAATTCCAAACAATGACTGATGTATAAGTTCAGGACAAAAATGGGCAATATCACAATATTTGAGGTGCTACAAAAATATTTTTTCTCAATAATTCCATACAATGACTGATGTATCTGTAATCAAGGCATCGTTGACTTAATAATTGTTAATAGTTGTTTATAAAATGTAATAATAATAATAAATAACCACAAAGAAATAAGAATAAAATTGAATATGATTGTCTGATTTATGTTTGTTTTTTGTTTAAAAAAAATCTAAGAAAACACTTTGAATCTATAGACTACTGCCGAATAGTCTTATTATTGCCATTTGATGACAATTGCTCATATACTGTAAGCCTAAATAAGTATATTTATTATTTTGAACAAAGGTTAAATGTTATTTCACAAGTTTCAAAAAGTGCCCCCAATTTTTTTTAAATGCCCCTGGATTTCAGTCAGTGGGGGCAAAAATTGCCCCCTAAAAAATATGTAAATTTCCTACCCTGGGGTCAGTACTGTTTAGAGACGCTCCACCAGACTCCATACAAAGTTGTTTTCCGTTCTCCTGCCTCCGTGTGTCTGTTAGACACTAAAGATAAACTGCTGCTGTTCCTTTCACGTCCACTAGAGGCTCCAGTCCTCAGTCTGAATATAAACGGATCTATAAAACGCCTTTAAGCCGCTCTGAAGGGGAACATTCACGTGTTTTATTTATTTCAGTATTTAATATTTAACGTCTGATTGATTGATGGAGAAAAGTGACAAATTAATCCATGATTTAAATGTCGGTAACAGGAGTTCTTCTGAGGTGAGACGTCAAGAATGAATTATTAGAGCAGAGACCTGTCAATCAAGACCAACCTGTCAATCGGGACATGCTGGTCTTGATTGACAGGTGTCCCTCCAATTACAAGTCCCGCCTCCACAGAGACTACTTTTTGGGGCGACCGTGGCTCACTGGGTTAAGAGGGTTATCTGGTAACTGGGACATGTCACGTGTCGAAGTGTCCCTGAGCAAGACAGTGAACCCCGGCTCCCCGGGCGCCTGTCATTGGCAGCCCACTGCTCCCTATATACAGGGATGGGTCAAATACAGAGACAAATTTCCCCTTCGGGATCAATATAGTATAATACATTTAAAAAAATAAAATTTAAACTATAATAACAACAATAATTATAATAATAACAATAACAACTATTATAATAATAACAATACGAATCATAACAACAACTATTATAATAATAATAACTATAATAACAATAACTACAGTGGCATCTTTAACTTCACATTAGAGAAGCTGGAACAAAAACATATTCATCAGTGGCCTCGTTTCCTTTCCTCCCTACTGTTTCAGCGATACGGAATAATAATATTAAATATGTTCATAAATAAACTGGATCATGGAGGACTTTGTGGCTGCTTTTATTTCCCAGAGTTCATTCTGGTTCTTCTTCTTATGTAACTCAGTGTTTCAGCTTCAGCCTGCAGGCCGACCAGAGACACCATCACACTGTGTGTGTGTGTGTGTGTGTGTCTGCTGAGCCCGCACACACACACACACACACACACACACACACACACACACACAC